TCTACCTTGGAATGGAGTAATTAATATTTTCTTCCTCCTAACTTCCATTTTTAACAGAAAAAGAAGGAATAATATATGTGGCTATTATACCTATCACATGGTCTGGAAATTAACCAGTGAACCAAGCTCACAACAAGTATTTGGTCAAAATTGTTTAAGGTTTATATATTCATACATTTTGTACGGTGGGAAAAATAAATATGGAATATTACAATTTTCGCATTCGAAATTTTGCCGTGTGGCGGAGGCTATTGTTTTCTTAGCAGTGCAAAGTTTCTGAAGTTTCATTGCTGTAGATACCAGCATTGACTTTTGCCAAACGACCACAAAGTCCATATTCTTCTTTTTTTATTTTTCATTTCTTTTGCAGCGAGGCCAACACGCTAAGAAGCTAGGTTTTTTTTTCTGTCTTTTGCCAAAGCTGAGAAACTCAGACCTTTGTGTAGATAAACCTAGATCCCCGAACAACCTTCAAAACCGGCAACTTGTGAAGGCGTCTTGTGAAGCCGGCAACTTAAGAAGCTAGCTGATTGCTGGTAGTTATATTACTGACCCAGAAAGTCAAGCATAGAACCGACTTGGAATGTTCCAGCGGCTCCAAAAGGCTCCATGCCATGATGCTAAAGTAAGATGTGGGCGTTGGTTGAGCTGTCATGACAAACAAAACAATAAAAGGGTCCGTTTGAATTAGCTATTTTTTAGGGTATTTATAAAATATTTTATTGTATTAATGTATATGAAATTTTTTTTATTATAGATATTTTTCGTGATATTTTTTGAGATGTTTTTGGAAAATATTTTGAAACATTTTTAAAAATTAAAATTTTTGTGATATTTTTAAAAAATTACCACCACTGCCACTACCTCCTCCCTCTCTCTCTTTCTCCTCCTCCCCTCCTCCCCCATCTCTTTTCTCCTCCCATCTTCCTCCTCCATTTCTTTCCTCCCCTTCTTCCTTTCCCTTCCCCTCCTTTAGTCGAGCCCAGATTTAGGGGGGAAGGGTAAGGGAGAAGGGGAGGAGAAAAGGGAGGGTGAGGAAATAGGAAAATGGAGTGGATGGTGACGATGGTGGATAGGGATGGCGGTGGTGGGTGGTGGTGATCGATGGAAGAAGAAAATAGTGTATATTTTATTTTTATTTTTTGTATATTTGGAGTTATTTTTAATATATCTATGGATGTGGTGTTTTTAAAATTATTTTTTATTGTATATTATTGTAGTATTGTATATAAAAAACTTGTGTATTATTGTACCATTGTATTTTTAGAAGTTGACTTGTAGAAAATTTCACGTCCCTTTGTCACTCTCTTTTGGCCCATAACATGAATACCAACCGATCATTTGTACATATACCAACCGATCAGATGTATATATGGTTTTTTAGAAGTTGACTTGTGGAAAATTTCACGTCCCTTTGTCACTCTCTTTTGGCCCACAACATGAATTCCAACCAATCAGATGTATATATGGCTCCACCAGGTATTTAAAAAAAAAATGTAAATACAGTGGAGAATCTCTTACTACACTGTTCCATTTAGGTACAGCTCCAATCCGACAAAGGCTAGAGGGCTGTGCCTAAAAACGGGTTTCGCTTTGGTGGTAAAACAACCAAAATTAACATCTCAAGTTTCACAATTACGAGCGTAGTCTAATAATATGAGTCACGTTTGTCCCTCAATTTGTGAGGTACTTAATTATTTTGTGTCTCTTAATTTTGTAACACTCTTTTGGGTCGATTATTTTATTAAATAAATAGCAAAATGACAATAGAAGCTACAATTTCTCTGCCCCAAGTTATCCTTTACCAACATATTTTATTTCTCCCTAACAAATATCAAACGACATATCCCGATCTAGGGACATGATATTAAGCCCGCTTTGGAAGAGCCAGAGATGAAAAGACCGATGATATTGCTGAGAACAAAAATGCCACAATTAGAAGGCCGGCAGCAGCATTTGCCTTGTTGAGAAAATCTGAGGCGTCAGTGCCCTTCAGTAGTAAGCGATTGAAATCAACTGTGATCCCAAACCCTGCTGCAGCGCCCGTGGCCAACATGTAGGAAATAACCTGCTCAAAACCAAAGGGAATGTCTAACAAATATCATTTCCCTTAAATTAAACCACATTTTCCAAATAGCTGCATATTCGCTCTTGGCATAATCAATTTATTTACTACAAGCCATAGGTAGTGACAGAGTAAAATCTCTTTTGATTGAAAAAAAAATAGAGTACATAAAACTCTTATCCACGACTAGAAGAATCCAAGATTAAGATAGAAAGCATGTTTTTCCTTAAACAAAAAGAAAAAAATTGAAGTCACTAGACATTTTGCTTACTTTTGAGCTCTGTTTTTAAATTCGGACCCGACTGGCCGGTCCGATCGGTCGAATCGGGAACTGGCCAGTTGTCCCGTCCGAGTTAATTCTAAATATCGGGAAATCAAAAACTCAGTCAAACCTGGTCAAAAACCGGGTTTGACCCTGTTTGACCGGAAAAATGAACCCGGTCAATCTTTTTTTTTTTTTTTTTACTTTTTTTGAAATGTCAAAATATTTTTAATATGATGTTTTGCCCCCTAAGTTGTTAAAAATTATTAATATACCTCAAATATTTCATACTTTATAAATGTTGTCTTAAAGTTTGGTGTTATTTTTCAATTAAATCCATAATTTTAATTCTAAACTTGTTAATGCTTATTAAATAATATAAATTGATACTTGATTGTTCTAATTTATTTGTATTTTCTTGTTAAATATATTTGAAACATCAAATATATATGAATATACCTTTATTAATATTCACATATTATTAAGTATTGTACATATAATATTTTAATTTTTAAATAATTTTTATTTATGACGTCATCCGATTCAACCCCTATCGAACCCGGTTGAACCCATTGACCCCTGACCCCTAAGCTCGACCGAGTCGATATCTAGTCCGGTTCTGAAAACATAGCTTTTGAGTCAATAACAGCTTATTTGAGTTCTTTTTCTAATTCACCGATAAATCTACTCAAGTTTGAACTGAATCTGGTATTAATTAATTAACTCATCAAACGTGACTCGATAAAGCATACATTGTATGTACAAATAGCAAATTACTTAGTTTTCATATATCCTGATTAATAATCAAACCATTATCAAATACAGGTTCAATCTCAGTCGATACTGTATCAACGTCCATTAATTAATTCAATAACATACCATCTGCATCCATTAATTATCGTTCAATTTTTCTCCCCATACATACAATTCTCTCGGATACTCCACGATTCCGTATAGAAGGTTTTATGCAAGATACGAGACATACCTTGTCACCATAAAAATCCAGATAACACAAAGCAGCACCACCAAATCGTTTGCCGGTGCTCACTTGGAATATTGCGAAAGCGGTTTGTAGGAGGGTGTAGGTGATTCCAATAACAGTTGTAGACAGCATGTAACTGTGGATGAATAATAAATACTTAAGTAGTCCACAACAATAAACTCCCATTAAAGATGAAGTATCAAGTATCTGATCAGGTCATTGAAATCTTGATTATGCGTACTTGTAGTCAAAGCAGGCTTAAATATAATGCAGCTTAGTTACCGGTAAGCATAGAGGTCACTGAAGTCGACTTTTATTTCTAGGCCGAAGTCATCGACGTATGTGACGGTGTCGATGGCGGTGATAATCAGCGAGATGAGAAGGAAAACAAATGTAAGAAGCCGCAACACAAGTGCAATTACTGGTAAACCTGCCGTGCACGTAACTGTAAATGGTGCAGGCCTGGCCGACGATTGAGGAGGGTTGGCCGTGGCAGAGGACGGGGACGCAGTGGTGGTGGATGGTGGAGGCGGAGGTGTTGATGGCGGAGGTGAGCCTGCGGATGACGGAGGCTCCATCGATCTTGCTGTCCCGAGTCTTTCTTGACATGAATAATTATGACTGGTCCGTGCAGTTTTATACTACTATTGCTACTTGTTGATATACAGCCGGCTCAGGTCTGAATGTCTGTCACTGATAAAGCATAATGCCGTGTATGTATCTATAATTTTTTTGTCTGAAGCGATCTTTCTTGATAAATTTTTAGCCCTGGAAACAAGACGATTAGCCTGCAATTAATATTAATCAACAAGCACACCAGCGTAGGGCGTTCACTGATATGTACGTTGTAATTTCAGCCATTTAAGTTTTTAACTTAACTACATGGTACTTTCCCAGCCTTCCACCATCTTGAGTGTTAGCGTGTTGGAACAATCAGAATGTTTAGTTTTTTTCTTTTGTCCTGCCAGAAAAATTACTTCATACTACATTCAAAATCTAAGTTGTGTATGTTTCATCTTGCGCAGTCCTCATCGCGCAGTTAGACATGGGGACTATTAAAAGTAAGGAATATAGGAAATGACAGAATTGAAGTGGTAACTTTGAAACAGCCTTAACTACTAATTTTTTTTTTTAATTTATCGTTTTTCTGTTTCGTTATCCATATATTTCAAGAATTTTTATTTCACTTTGGTGAATATTCAAAATTCTAATTGAAGAATGAGAGAGTTGTCTATAATCTTACAATTACATTGTCGATCATACTAGTAGAATCGTAAAAGTAAATAAACAGAGCTCAAACACTAACTCAACAAAACGCCATTATCTTGTATGTATATCGTACGGTACCGGGAGTTAGAGCTTCCCCCTGTACGGGGACTACAGTTGAGTAAAGATGAGGAAATGCAAACAATTGTGCAATATCTTGAGACTTTACTGGCAGAGACAAACAGTTGTTGGCAACCTCCGTAATCTTTTTTGGATTACATGACAGAAGTATTCATCAGGATGCCTGTAGTGACAGAACTATCGGCTTTCAAACCCCTTATTTGTTCAGGAAGAGCTTTCATACTGCATATAAAGCTAAGTTTTTATCATAATAAGTTAACAACATCCTTGGTCCCGTTACAAAAGTTAAAACTAAAAAGAAAGCATTCTGATTTACTTTCCATCTTTATTTCAATGACTAATTGATGGAGGTAAGAATCAAACAAAAGGAATAGCAATCAGAATTGCTCTTTTGACATTATGAGTCCCGTTTCTTGAGTTCTTGAAGATTTGCAATTAAGTCTCTTAAATCTGTACTTTCGTCTCCAATTTACATAAACAGGCATGTTGTACTCTTCTCAGGCTGCATGTTAGTCAAGACGTAGAATTCTCCATGGTTTGGTAAGCCAAGCATTTGAATGCGAGGGCTTAAATTTGGGATGATTGTGAACAATGAACCTGTATATATAGTTAGGGAAGTGTATTAATAGGTCCAAATTATGTCTTTCCTTCTAGTTTGAAAGCAGAAAAATGATAATTGTTAATCAGGAACTAATAGGCCTCCTCAACTAAATTGACCAATTATTATTATACTTGTAGCATTTCTCACGAAATAGTAATTATAAGTTTCCTCTCCATTTTTTTTTTTAACGAAGAGGATTAAGAGTTACTAATCACCTATCTTTAATTTGTTCACTCGAACCCAGGCCTATACATAGGTCATAGGTAAAGCATTTACCAAATTTCATCTAGACATTACAAACAACTTGACAGTAATAACCTGTAACTATTAGAAGTAGGGTCCTCGTTTGGAACAAAAACATAAACATGTAGTTAACAAGTAAAATGGAATGGTAAGCATGATGGTATATACATTACCAGAATTATCTTACACGAAATCTTGTCTCAGGATTTCAGGCAAGAAAATTTTCTTGCATTTTATTTAACGTACTAGAAACAGCTTAAAAAGATGAGAAGTTATCTTCTCTGGTACAAACGCGACTCACCTAATGGAATAACATAAATAAGGTGATTACTATCCGAGATTTATTTTTCTAAACTAAACAACAGATTTAGAGGAAAGAAAAGAAGACCAAAGAGTGAACAAAGAGTTTTCCATGTGCCGGGTGTGTATGGTTGATTGAGAAATTTCTAAGTTTGTGATGAAATTTTAAAAAATTCTACAAAAGGGGCGATTTCAGTGAGGTATTCCGTAGGGGGGTTTTCGCATTTCAGAAATACGAGCTCTGCAGAATTTTTTTATTTTTTATTTTTTTTCGGAGGCCATAGAGCTCGCATTCGCGGAATGCGAGCTCTACTTATTAATGCGAGCTCTCCCAAATTTAAATTTTTTTGCTTTTAATTTGGGAGCTAGAGAATTGTCCACCCTAGTTTCTTTCTTGTAGAACTTCTCCCTTGTCTGATATTCTAAGCTCCACAACTAATTAGGACAAGTTAAAAAAAATCAAAACTCAAAACTCTTCAGCTAATCTATTCTTAGTGCAGAACTAATCTTTGCCAGAATTTTCTATTTGTTACTTTTCATTATTATTAGTATTATTATTTTGCTTGCAGGTGCTTATTGTAGCAGGAACTAGTACCACATCAAGGGCGTTGAGCTGGGTTATCTCCCTGCTACTGAACCATAGGCACGTTTTGCAAAAAGCCCAGGAAGAGATTGACTCTTTTGTTGGTAAAGAGAGATGGGTAGAAGAATCTGATATCAAGAATTTAGTCTACCTACGGGCCATTGTCAAAGAGACAATGCGACTACATCCACCAGCACCTGTACCTATGCCACGCCAAGCCGACGAAGACTGTAACGTAGCCTTGTCTTGGCGCCCAGCTCTCAGTGAGCTCGCATTCCGCGAATGCGAAGATCCCCATTTGTAGAACACACTCCAAGAACTGCCCTCGTTGTAAAATTCTTTTTTTTTTTCCATCATAAACTAAGAATTCACCCATGGTTGATTTGACCCGGAGAATCCATCTTCAAATGTGGGAGTCTTGGGAACTAAATTAACCTCTCTTTGGAAGAGCTAAATTAAGATGAAAAAACTGATGATACAGCTGAGAACACAAATCCCACTAAGAAAATAGATGCTGCCACAATTCCTTTATTAAGAAAATCTGTGAGGGACGACGAGTCATTTCCTAGTGCCCGGTTCAAATCAACGGAGAGCCCAAACCCTGCAGCAGCACCCGTGGCAAGCAAGTAGGATGTAACCTGCTCAAGCCCAAAAGAATAAACATGACATTTCGTGTAAGCAAAGTTAAATGACCTAATTAATATACACTGAGGTTACATGTCTAACCTTGTATGGAGCAGAATTGCATTACAAAATACTACATAAATACCTTGTCGGCATAAAAGTCGAGCAAATAGAAGCCCGCACCACCAAGTCGATTTCCAGTGCTCACTTTAAAGATATCGAAAGCAGATCGGGTGAGAGTGAAGGCAATTCCAACAACAGCAGAAGCCACCAGGTAACTGCAAGATTAGAATCAGCGGACGTGAATTTCAATTCCCACGCATGCATGCATGATAGCCAAATAAATCATCATGAGATTGATCGATGCATGCAAGTGCAGCAGACTCCAATTTCAATCACGCAGCAGCCCAGAGCATGCATGCACTTGAACTTACCGGTACGCATAAAAATCATTAAACCTGATTTGGTATTCATGGCCTTCATCATCAACCGTAGTAACAGTGTTGATGATGATGAGAACTAGCGAGATGAGGAGGCAAATCGACTGCAAAAATTCTCTCTAAAAGTCCCAGTACTGATAAAATCAGGCCTTCGGATGGTACTGGAGAAGATGTGGCATTGATTGGTGAAGGTGTCATTTTCCTCACTTACGAATGCTCGATGTTCTTCTTTATTGCACTACACAAATAGACTCATGGTTTGTCAGTCTGCTCGCTCGCTCTCAGTTATGAATGTTTGATGCTCTTCTGCTTCATAATTTAACAGCTTTTCTTCCTTCAGTTTATACAGGTTAGTTCAGCCATTTAAGTCCTAGTAAATGTCGCTTCCGAAGGGCTTTGGGTATCATGTGGGGCTGGACAAGTTCTGGAGGTTCACACATAGTAGAGCAGTGATAACACGGCGTTAGCCACTCTCACGACGAAGTTAAAAAAAACAAAAAAGAAAGCATATAGAAACTCCAAAAAATTTCACTCAATTCGGCCTTATTGAAATCTGCTCTAATTTGATTGCAACGTCAATTAGATAAGTAGTCAGTCGGAGCATTCAATTAAGCTGGATGCACATGCCAAAGATGAGTTTTAGCTTGCTTTGGTTTCATACATGAGTTTTTTTTTTTTTTTTTTTTTTGGAGGGTGGTTCATACATAAGCTCAAAAGTGAAACAAGAACCCAAAAATCCGTCTCCTTCGAAAATCTACGTAAAGTTATGCCAATTCTCTTTTGATTTTTTTTCTCATTTTGGGTTTTCCGACCTCTTTTAAAGTGTTCAATTTGGTCTTGGGTTAACCTACATACCATTTAATCCCTGTAATCCTAGTAGTATCAGAACTGATTGTATTTTGATTGTCAAATTCTGAATCTAAGATGGGAAAACTCCAAAATCTAACTTCGTTGCCTTTAATCTGTGGGGAGAAGCCCGGCACTGTACAGCCGGTGTACGCTTCCAAGTTCCAACCATCAAAGTACGGAGTACTAAATTCTTTTTTTTTTTTTTTTTGTTTCTGAAGCTAAGTGCTGTTAAAATTTCTTGATCCTAGGAAACTAGATACGTGGATTATAATAACTTTCCATTTGGCCCATTTAAGTTCACAATTAGGCCCATTCCAGGCAAAGATTGAGTCTCATTTTGCGAACCGTTTTTCACTTCACATTGGTTTTGGTGACGATACCGAGTTTTTTTAAGGCCCATAGACCGAGTGGAAACAACAGGTATAACCGTGTAGGCAACTAATTACCTAGTATGGATTAAGTTTGATTGGAAATCGTCGCGCTGACTCATGCCTCGAAGAGATCTAGAAATCTCACGAAATTTCAAAATGCAATCCGGAAAACATTTTCCCCAAGCATCAAGTTTCTTTTGTCGATTGTGTTTGGAAAACATTTCCACGTAGCCATTTTTAGGCATACAGGTTACCGAATAATTTGGAGAAATGATGGAAAACAAGACTAATGTCAAAAGTAACAAAAGCCTTTGTTTCCGGAGCTATGAATTGGATGATACGAGAAGAGAAGAGAAGAGAAGAGGTAATTAGATTTGTGGTAGATTCCCAGCAAGGTGAATTCCAGTCATAGTTGAAATTCATTGCATAATGGTTGAAATCTATAATATAAACGAACTGGCAAAATTTTTTTTTTTTAAACAAAAAAATTTTGGCGGTCCTGAAACATTAATCATGATGATTGACGAAAGAGGAAAAGGGAAAAATCGTGTTGTACGTGAAAGTGACGTCCTAGGTGTAGTGATTAATTGAGGCGCTAGGCATGGAAAGACAAAGACCACCATTAGCTTTTGCGCATGATACATCCACAAAGCGGCGACCACGTAAGTGTAATTGACAAGCACACATTTTAAAAAATTTCGTACCAACATTTTTAAAAAAAATTATTTGAGCAAACAAAAAGCGTGGTAGACATTATTTCAAAATTATTCCAAATAATATTTCGTTTGCATCACAAACACATTTTCCAACCTACCTTTTTATATTTTCAATCACCTTTTTATCTCACATACATCATATCACAAAAAGTGCTACAGTAATTATTCCAAATAATATTTCAAATAATACACTATCCAAACAAACCAGTTTCAGTTGAGTGCTTGATCCGTGTTTTAGAAATTAATAAATTCGATTGTTGGTTTTATCTTCTTTCACCACTTTACATTTAAATAAATAAAATTGAAAAAAAATAAGTCCTACTACGTACGTACTTTTAAAAAAAAAAACAATTAGGCGCAGAATTTGCTTTCATTCTTCTTGACCCAAAAAAAGGGGAAAAGTATAATAGGAAAGGCTGCTGGTAAACTATTATCTATGAGTCTAGATTGAGAAAAAAAAAATGGTTAACCTTTTAAGGCAAACTAACAATTATGAATTCAAAATGCTTAGCCAAACTTGATATAAAGGCCCATCTGTAAAAAAAGAAAAAAAATGAAATATATATACAGTTAAGATTGAAGTATATATATATCACCTAACATTATATATTTTTATTTTTCATTTAGCAATATGTAACATGTTGATTGTTGTCATCAATTATTTGGACACGTAATCCAACATAGGTTTAAGTTTTTTTTTTTTTCCCATTCGTCGTCCGTTGCAAACTTTTAATAGACACCCTTCCTAAAGCACAATTGTCTGGTCATCCATCTTAATTAACGAACAACTATATCTTTCTCGACTTTAGCGGAGCTGAGACATCACTGTTCCGTTCAGTTTAGTTTTCTCGATTGAGGGTTTGGCTTCTTTTGAACATAGGTTTGTGGAAAACCCAATCTCTCTCTCTCTCTCTGTCCCTCTCCCTCACTTTAGGAAAAGAAGAAAAGCAACAGGTTTTCAAGACCAGTCAAAATTTCTACATCTATGACCGCATAATAAGTTAAGAGAGCATGAGGGTGCTGGTTTGGCAGCATTAGAAGAAGATAAAAAGAACTTTAAACGAAAACGCCATGCAAAATTAGTGCTGGATCACGCAAGCTTCCATTTTGCTTTGTTGCTTTTGAATTAGATAGAAGACGAAAGACCATGCAATCCAATCCAATCCAATTAATCAAGCAACAGTATGGGACATTACCCCTTGAGAGTTGAGACAGACGATGATTGAAAAGCCAAGAACATCGCCCCACCGTTGATGCCTGATGCAGCATTCTTTTGTGGATTACGCGACAAAAGCAATGATTATCTTAACCCTACTATAAACAATGACCTTGAAGTGATTAATTTCCTCGAAATTTTACTGCTCTTTCGTGGTTCTGATGAATTATGAGCTTAGACTTCAACCTGGAATTTTTCAGGGTCAAGGAATTTCGTTTCTTGTTTCCAATTTGCTGTTGCTGACCGATTTGAATTACCATCAAAATCTGTGCCAACCTGCTATGAATTACTGAAATATATACATGTAGTAAGGCTGCTCAGAATCTATTATTTAATTATTGTGCCACATTAACACCAAAATCTATTTTCTAGTTTTTCAGTCGGGTTAATTGTATGAATTTAATCAAGTTCCTGAACTTTTTAATCAAGTTTGTATTGATTCTTCAACTAGTCAAATTTGTCGACCTAGTCCTACAATGACAAATTATGTTCAACATCCACGAATAATTAATATTATCAGAAATTAAATTCACTGTGGTTTAGCACAATTTTAACATCTTGAGTTGAGATTAAGTGTAAAAAACGAGGAAAATACAGGCATTGCATTTCCACACTTGGAAGTTCAAACTGTAAAGTGCCACGACAGAGTCTTAGGATTTTCAAGGTAAAAAAAGTGAAATTTGTCCCAACGCCCCGATGCTTCCTGATAATTCACCTTTTGGTGAGATGCAAAATTTTGGTTGTTAGTTAAATGTGGCGAATTTTACTATAAACTTTCAATACTCAAATCGAGACTAGTACCACACCATCCTAATTAAATTCTACTGCATGTTTTGTTAGCAGTATGTGTAGACAAATCTTAAGGGGCATAGAGAAGACATTCACAGACTTAATAAGCTTCTAAATCATTAGCCATGCACTTCAACTGGCTCGTTAATTAGTTGAGGCCTGTGATGTAGATCCCAGAATATGAGGCCTGAGAAGAGCATATATACACGAGCTGGAATCTAGAGGAGGAGGAGTGGGTGGTGGGGTGTTGGCATGATTGTATCAGACTCAGCTGGAAGTGTAGATGGGGAAAAAGAAAACTAACAAGAACTTCTCAAAAGGCTGCCACAGAAACAGAGGGATCCTCTCACGCCAACTTATATGGACATCAACTGTTGTAACGCGGTGGTGGACACAAAAACAAGAGCATTTTTGAGATCCAAATAGTACTAGTAATATTTTGATGGCATCGATAATTTGTGGATAAAATACAACAGTACAATAAGGGTGACCGACCATAAAAGAAAAGAAAAAGGAACCTCATCACTGTTGGATTACTTACATCCCACACACAGACACACAGTGTCGCTTTATTGACGGGTGATTTTATAGGTTGAACCTGAATTTGCTTTATTCTCATGTCTACCTATAAGGGATCTTGGGCACCGTAAAAGCAAATCCAGACCCAGATTCCTTACTCTTATCAAAACCAGCTGCTGATCCCCACCCCCTCCTCCTCTCCTCTTGCCTTGACCACCAGTACTCTATTTTATTTGATATATACATATCAGGAGTAGTGTTCATGTTATAAAAGCTGCATAAATGGTAATTGTTCATTCAATTACATGAGCAAACGAGACAAACAAAAACCGTTTTGGTATTAAATATGCACAAAGCCGTATTTTGGTACTCCAGTACTATGGAACTTTAGAGGCCGTATTTCAGTTTTGCTCTAATTAAGTTTAAATTTTGGTATCAAATGCATACCAGTAAAATAGTCCTTAATTCCTAGTAAGTTAATTATACCATATCCTATGTATTCAAAACATGTTTTTTTCCCCTTCTGAATTCTCAATTAATTAGGAAAAAGTTGTTTCCATTCATTTGGTCTAAATGACTAGACGTTGATGTTGATTCATACCTCAGTTTCTCCAAGCCTACAATTCGAGAATGCTTTCATTTCCTCGTCATGGTTTTGCGTGAGAATTTGGCGTTTTTCTCTTTCTTTTGTCTGCCCGTCCTGCTAACTACCAACCTACGTATCTCACTCACTCCAGTCTCCAGAAACAACAAATGAGTACGATTCACTAACCCTCTCTAGATGCCTCACTGCCTCATCATAATTGCAAGATCATTGCTTTCCAAACTCTCTCTCTCTCTCTAAATTTCAAAGCATGGGCACGAACTTAAATAAATGTCTGCTCAACAGTAATCTCGGTAGGGTGAATGGTGACTACCTCAATTTATGACAACTCCAAAATATGTACACGAGAAATAGGGGTATCTGGGAATTTGGGATTACCATATTGGTGATTAAAGAAACTTGGTACCGTGAACCATGACTCATTTCAGCTTTCTGGCTTCCATATTTATGAATTTAAGCATGGCCGGTTTCATGAAACAACGTTCATGGCCAGCAAACTACTTCTAGAATGCAACTTCTGCAGTGCTCTCCACTGAAACAGATTCTCAGACTTCCAGCATTGGATTGAGTTTCTTAAATCTTAGTTAACTTGCTCTTGCCTCCTGGTCACTATGTTAGTGAAAGAAGAAAGTTGCAAGGTATGGGGGAGTCAAGCAACATGCATGAATTTAACCAATTAGTCCCGTAGCTACTATATTCAGCCAAACATCCAGGGCTTCCAGTGGAGAAGTACACAATCACAAAATACGTCAAAATGGAAACCATAAGATGATTTATCTTTTCAAAGTAGCAAATGGCCGCTTGTTGACTGAAGAAAAAGCTTTACGTTTCATCAAGAGGCTTCATATGTCTCTCTTTGGCTCATGATCTTGTCCAAGCACCGACTCCAAAAAAATTTTCACAGTATAAGATTGTAAATTGAAGTCACAAGCCTAGAATGCACGTAGAAGTACAAGGATGAACATTTCAAGTTTAATTACAAATTGGATGAAGTGCTTTTAAAACATACAATGTTGTTGGATGAACATTTCAAATTTAATTACAAATTGCTGGTAGTTCAACTAAAATGCATGGATCTTTGCTTTTGCTCTCCAGAATTCATTGGCTTTCTTAATAGCTCATCATCTAAATGGAGCATCTTTCTCTATATATAATCTTGAAAATTGGTTGTGTACCTTTAATATTGCCTATCTAAATGTAGCATATTTAATCCTTATATGATCTTCAGAATGGAGACTTTCACCAGCGGAGTTGTTATTAATCCTAATTCAACTTTAGGAAGGATACGGTAGAGTTTAGCAATTTACATAATTCTTCCACGCAATTAAAACAAAGAAATTACTTAATACAGTGGAGTGGATCTGTTAAGAGAACCTAAACCTTCCTGTCAGATGGCATCAACACATATACGTCTACCACTACAGTACTTCTCTAGTAAGCATATCCCATAAAAATGAAATGAACAAAAAAATGAAAATCGATGCCTACCCTTTCCAAACTTCTTCAGCAGACGCTCGAAAGAGATGCTGATCAAATCGTTGCTCCCCATTTCATCTTTTAACAATCGATCCTGATCATATTCTTTTCTGATAAGATTTCTTTCTAGCTACCAGAACCCGTATTCGCTTTAAGACACACATGCCTGAATATTGATAACGTTTTCAAGATTAGGGATACCATATTATCACATGAAATGGCTAGCTGAAGAAGTAGAACCAGAGAGATCTGTCCATGCATTGGCAGTGGTACTCCAATATTGATCATTCCCAGGAATGCTCAAGAAATTTCTCGACAAGTTCAGCCCTTGGTGATTTTCTTCCAGCTTGACTGAACCCCCATGAGCTTCCAATGTTTTAGATGTCAGCTGATCCGTTGTCACGCCATCATATCCTAATGGCTGATCAATAACTTCACCTTCAAGATGATACACTCCAGCAGCAGCTGAATGTTCCAATCCACCCAGAAATGGTAACTGCTGCACTTGTTGCAGTCTCCACTGGTCTGCGAATCGAGATGACAAATTAAGTGGCCCAGCACCCAAAGGATTACCAATCTGGAACTCAATTTCGCTTCCAGCACCGGCCCTGGTCGTAACTGTTGGATGGATTCCACCAAAGCTCATACCGATATCCACATTCGAAAAATCAGCAAGATTATGCAGAGGAGGAAAGAAAGATAGCGGAGGTGGAGGTGGCAAATGACTCATTACATCAGTGGAGCAGCTATTATTAGCAGAAACTGCACTAGTTGAGGTGGAATTGCTACTTTGATTGTCGCTAGTCATTGGGGACTTTGATCTGCTTCCTTTGCTTCTTTTGTTTCTTCGGCATCCTCCTCCAACTGGGACGTTCCTTAGTGCCCCTCCTCTTGTCCAGTATCGCCGACAAGTCTTGCAGAAATGACGGGGCTGCGTCAGGCTGTAATTGTTGAAGTAGCAAAATTTTGTGTTTGCAGATTCGCAGCGGGGGCACTTGAGGGCTGCCTCAGGCTGTGGTAACTTTGATAGCCTGGCTCGTTCGGCCATCGAGCCAGGTCGGATAGATGCCGTGCCCCCAGCTCCAGGCGGAGGTGGGGGCGGCATAAGAGGTGGTGGAAATTGAGAATTTTCACCATCACCAGCTACTTGCTGCGGATTTTGTTGCTGCAGGAAAGTAAAGCCAGATGCATCAAATATTTTCTGGAATATTCAAGAAAAAAATGAAGAAGAAAAGATTAGAAAAAAAAGGTAGCTAGCTCGGAATATTTATGTGGATATGTATCTTTTCCATTAGTTAGGTCTCGCTATTAGTTATTGTTTAAGGGGATTTAAGATTGGTTGGGAAAAGAGGGTGGAGAAATAAAACCTTGGTAATAATATTACTAGTCAGTAGTTTACCTGTGGCCAATTGGGAGGATCTAGATAAACCGGAACAGAAGAGAATACCATGGTGGTGCTGGACCTTTCTCTCTTTTGTAAAGGTTGATGTGGTTTATGGTGGAGAATCACATCAACAAGAGAGAGTTGCAGAGAAAGATGGTATAGACCAAAAGAGAAGAAGATTTATAAAGTTAAAGGAGAGGTGCTTATTTATTATAGTGGTTTGTTCATCTTTGCCCGTTCCCCTCCCCTTCCTCTTTCTCTTTCTCTCTTTCTTTTTTTTTTTTTTTTTTAAATTAATTTCAGGGTTTGAAGACATACGACTAGTTCTTTATTTACAAGTCTCAATTTTATGCTTCTAATACAAAACCCTTAATTAAAAAAGGAAATTTGATGGCCATGCACTGATAAAGACAGATGCTAATGGTGAATGGAACCCTAATCTAATATTCTAATATATATCTAATTATGGTGTACATACACTTTTGATTTCGTTTTTTTTTTTAAGCCTGTACATACACTTCATTATGTTCCTAATTGACTAAAAAAAGTTGGGTGTGGGTTTTGATTTGCATTAGATAAGAATAAACTCGAGGAAAAGGCAGGGGCTGGTGGGGTTATGTGATGGAAATGTGACCCTGGAATGTAAGTTTCTTTGTTCCGGCATGTCCCCGCCGATTTGTATAAATTTTCGTGCATAGTGCACAGGCAGATATCATGAACATTATCATATGAAAAGCCATCTTTGCTCATCTTTTAAAGTAGATTACTGTGGTAACATGAATAGTCAGTTGATACAATGCCTTGTTCTCCTGATGTTTCATTACTTACCGTGGTGATTATATGCACAGCCAAGCCCGACCGACATGCATCCTCTTGTTATGTGCTGCTCTATTTTAGATTCTTTCAATATTATCGTCAGATTTTTTTTTAGCCATCATGCAGTCAAAGGTTGTGTAGATCAATTTGCTCTCATATATACCCATTGGCTAGAAGAACTTTCCATCGAATTAAAGGAATTCCACATAATGAGATCAGCTCTCAGGATCGATCTTATCATTATTTTATTTGTAATTTAACCGTATTCAACAGGTTATAGTCCATCCATAGCTCTTCACAGTGAAAGTGTTCCATGGTAATTTCACTTTTGAATCAGCCAAAGTCAAGTTTCTTCTCTTTGCAGTTCAATTCAAAGTTTTGGAACAATTGCCCCATGGTCTTATTTAGCATTCCAACAAGCATAAAACTTTTTCTAATATGTTGTGCCAAGTGAATTATCCATCAATTGTAGGGGTTAAAATAAATAAAGTAAAAAGGAGAAAAAAAAAAGTGAATTAATTATCAATCGATCAATTGCAGGGGTCAACATTTGGAACGTAACAAGGACGCAAGGCAGCTTGCTAGCTACAACTTACATATACAAACAGTGATTTGAGTGCAATCTTGATCCTTACTTGCGATGCAAGTGATTTGCCCTACCTCAAATCCGCACACAATAACGAGTCTTCCTGTCCAAAAAACTTACTATTTATTTTTCCTTCCGAGTTTAGTGTAATAATTAATGGGAAATGTACATTACATATTCTTCGGTTTTGCTTAAATTTCCACAATTAAGTATCTGGGGATGGCGAAAGTATACGATCTGATCAATGGCTACCCCTCCAAACGTGACATATCATCTAACTTAAAATACTTTTCTGCATTTGGACTAGTAAAAAGTACTACCATCTATATACTATATGATGGAGCACACCACCGTAGACGAAGGAATCCAATCCTGCATGTGGTGGCGACATGCATAAA